ACCATGAGCATCGCGGCAAAGAACAAGTTGAACAGCAGCGGGGCCAGGTTGCATCCCTGTCGGAGGCCTTGGCCCACGTCGAACCATTCCGAGTACTGCCCGTCGTCCGTTCGGACGCGCGCCCTCATGCCCTCGTGGAAGTGGCGAATGACCGCCAGCATCTTCGGGGGCACGCCGAAGTGTCGGAGCACATCCCACAGTAGGTCTCAGTCCACCGAATCGTATGCCTTGGTGAGGTCGACGAAGCACGCGAACACCGCAGTACTCTTCTTCCTGGCGAGCTCATGGAGCCGCTGGATGGCGAACAACATGTCGAGCGTCGACCGGTGTGGGCGGAAACCGCTCTGCTCCTCCGGGAGGAAGCCCTCTCGCTCGCAGTAGTGGCTCAGTCGTGTAGCGACGACCTTAAGCAGCACCTTGCCGGCGTGTGCGACGAGAGAGATGCCCCGGTAGTTGCCGCACTCCATCGTGTTCCCCTTCTTGAACAGCACTTTCATGGTGGCATCCTTCCACTGCTGTGGTACGTCCCCAGTCTGCCACACGTCCACGACAGTGGCGTGCAACTCGCGGAGGAGACCTTGATTTCCGTCCAGGAAAAGCTTGATCAGCTCAGCCGGTAGGTCGTCCGGCCCGACGGCCTTTCTGTTGGCCATTACCCGTACCACTTCCTCAACCTCAAGTAGAGATGGGATGTCGTCGTGTGTGCGTGTGTGTTTACTATTAGCATCAACCGCGCTAACCGGCTGACCAATGAAAAGACGCCAGGCTTAGTGCGGTTGGGTGTCACATGTATGCGCGTGTTACACCGACCGCGCTGATCAGTTGAACGGAACGAAAGGACACCAGCCTTACAACAGCGAGACGAACAAGCGCGGGAAAATTTTTATAGTCTCTTTCGCAAAGCGAGCGAGGGAGGGATATCGATCGCACGCATCGAGGCCTGCCGTCAAGCGCTCACCACCACAGCGGTAGCATCAAATTCCAGCAATCGCGCCCTTAACAACAATGGTCACTTGCCTGTTCGAGTTCTGGGCGATGTCGCGGGCGTCCGGGTTTGCCTGAGGAATGCTCCCGCACTTACCGTCCCTGGGCAGAAGGGGGGGGGGGGGGGGGGGGGGGGGGGTGTACTCATAGTCGTGCATGCCGTAGTCGTTAGACCATTGACCTCGCATCCCTACAAAGCCGGGACGGAGCACGCCGGGTTCTCACCGGACCAGGCTCTCACATCACCAAGCGCGAAGCGCCGTGAGATATTCGGCGAGTCGCATGAAGGGTGCGCTGCATCCTGCTAAGGGTGTTCGGCATCTTGTGCTTACTTCCTTGCGTACGGATGACAGCTGCGTATGACTTAATTTATTTTCTGGTGCTTTCACTTCCTGAGACAGTTGTAAGCACTGTGTAACTGCCTCGAGGGTGCTTGACCATTTTAACACAACGTGGTGCGATCATCCCCCTTGCGCGGAGTGAGGGTTCTCCACCCCGCACAACATGATCTACTCGACCACCATTATGGTTACCGCCAAAAAAAAAAACGGAGGAAAAAAAAAAAAACGGTAACCTGGTTGTCGAGTTCACGAAGTGAATTGGCTTGTTTTACAACGTCGTTGCCAAGCGACGAAAACCCAACCCCGATGGTTAACACCGGGGGGGTGGAGGGGCGGATGAAAACGAGGGGGGGCGTGCGCCCGAAAGGGTGTGGAGGTTGAAACATCGTGGTGCTGGTGTACAAGGCGTACCTACGGTTGGTGCACGAGAAACACGAACCGATCGCACATGAATACGTAGCTTGAAAAAAAAAAAACATATCTTCGAAGATTCATGTGTGTGTTCACGTTCACCAGTAGAGATCTCAAAACAATGAACCACGGATCAAACTATGCCTGGCGGGGGGTGGAGTAGGGATAGGCTTCGAGGGTTGCAAAGACCCACTTTGCTCTCGCGTAAACAATTCCACGTTTGCGCAAGCACATGGCAGATATAGGCATAATATTTTGCAGATGCTGAGTCTACCGCATGGACAATCACCCATTCAGAGTGCCAAAAAAAAAATGGTACTATTTACATCGATTTACCACAAGTTAACACCAGATCCAACAACCACCACCCCCTCGACAAACGCCACCTCATCACCCTTCAAACTCCCATCCATGGTAGATGCAGTGCAAGCGGCCGGTTTCCTGGTTCACTCGTCCCTCCGACAGGGGCGCCCATCGATGAGGGCACCTTCGTCCATCCATCGTCCATCACCCCCAATGCCAATTGTGTCCGAGAGCGGTTTCACGGGAGAAAGCACAAGGCAAACAAACGTGATAAGAGGCCGTTTGCAACGAAGAAATTAAGAAGTGGCGCACACGTCGTCTTGTCTCTCTTCTTTTTTTTTTTCTTTTTCGGGGTCGTTGTTTTTGTTGTGGGAGGGGGGTCCTTGTTCCGAGGTCGTTGATTGTACGCGTATGATAAAGTCAGCTGGAGACCGTGAAGGTCGTTTCAACCCTAGCAGGGATCAGCATGAAAGATAAAACATAGGGGGGTGCTGGGCTTGCTTGACTGCTATGACGACGGTTTCAACTAGGAAGCACGACAATAGCACAAGAAGAATAGACGGCAGTGATCAAGGCTACAGACGAGCGCGCAACATTTTATCCGATTATAGAGTCGAGCAACATATTATAACGTAATCCCCCCACCCCGTCATTCAGAAAGCTGAGAGAACACGGGGGAAACGAGGCACCCTTACTCCTAGGCCATCGGATGGTGGAATGTCGCGCAAATAGACGGGAACAAAGGTTAACATAAAGCACACGCTGCAGTTTCTCACTTATCGGTGAATGCCTTCCAGCCATCGTCCTTGGGGTCCTTCCAAACCACCAGCGACTCTCCCAGCAGCTAGAGACGGAGAGGGGCGGGTTGGGTGGGTGGGAGGAGTATTTACTCAGTTATTGGGGTTGAAAATAACCGAACATCTCGTAAGGGTGAAAAGATTGTTGGTATTATAGTCGCCTTCTCATGTCTCACTCAGCACATCAAGATTTTCATGGCTCTTCCGAACCCGGCGCAGTTCCTGTGCTCTGATTGTGTTTATGCGGCGGAATAGAGAACAGATCGATCATCCAAATGAATCTTTGAATTATCATACACATTTCTCCCGAAAAACTTTTCTTCTACCACCGTTCCAGTCGACGCCGACTCGTTTCCGATCAAACCAGCGAGTGAGCGAATCACGACCTTCAACCTCGAGGAGGACATAAAGGCAGCCGCGGGCGCCGTCGGTAACACCTGGTGATGTGATAGAAGACAACCGTCTGTGTGTCTGTGTGTCTGTGTGTCTGTGTGCTTGAAGGCGGAGGCACGCCGGTCAGCAGCACGAAGGCACGCCGACCTTCGCTACATAACTCGCCCGCGAGTAGAATTTGCAATGAATACAAGAAAATAGCACATGAGCGGAGACGAAAGAAACGCGAGCGACAAAAGATGGAGTTGGGGGGAGGATTTGGGGGCGGGCAGTCTAGAACAAACTAATCCACGGGGCACAGGGTGAAGCTGGCATGCGTGTCGGACGACAGCGAGAGTACACCCAAGCAGAAGATGAGGGACACGCACAGAACGCGAAAAAGCAACACGTCGGGTTAAAAAATGAACACGGTTTCGGATGTTGTTCAGCGAGACAATGAACATCATGCTGCCCACAGGGTGTGTGCAGCAGAATCAAGCGCCACCCACGAACGAACCTTGACGGGGTACGGTTGCCGCGGGTCGCGAGCCTCCAGGTCTCTCATCACCACCACCGGGTACCACTGCCTTGTCCACTCAAACGCCGCCTCTTGCCCTTGCACGCCCGTCTTCCCCTCATCTTCCTGTCGATTTCCAGGGAGCGCGTTTACAGCAGTTGCACGGAGACTCAAAGAAAGAGGGATTTGAATAACGTTCAGCAGCCTTCGCAAGGGAATTTTCGTTTTAAACAAACATGTTGGATAATGGATGAAATCGGGGAAGTTGGGTTAGGGTTGGGGGTAGGGACTAAGATCTGCGTACCCCCTCCCGGCTCTATTTCCATATTAGCCAAATTTCTCGCGAAGGCGGTCCATAGCGTTCCGGGTGCTTCGATTTTCAGATTCGGAGAACGCCGCGTCGGCCTCCGTCAGCGAGAAGAAATCGGACTGTACATGAGTGGCGAATTATTCTGGAATATTCTTTCAAACCTTCTGGCCGAGAAACATCCCGGCCTTCTCGACGTTTTTATCCGAACGGACGAAGCACAGGAGCAGCAGCAGCAGTAGCCTGGTGGCCTGCTACCCACTTACAACCCCACCAGAAAAACGAATGACCGTGCAGGCGGAATCAATCACCCATGTGCTGATCTGCGCCAACCGACCGCCACGCGATCCACCGCCTAATTTGCCTCTTATGTACGTATGCACGCACTAATGTATCACGTACGTATGCAACCATCTAATAGTAAACTATGCAAGACCAACTAATTGATCACTCATGTACACCGCCTCCACTAGACGATGTTGGTACCAACTGTTTTTCACGTTCACCATTCACCGTGGATTACGTGTATCTCGTCCACACCTGCCGTTCATCCAGCCCGGCCTGTCCTCCCCCGTCACCGCCTGGCGCCGATGCCGCCGCCGTGGATCGAAGCCCACCGCCGCCGCCGCCCTCCCTTCCTCTAACGCCCGGTGTTGCCGCGTGCCACGGGCTAACTCTTGTCCCCGCTAGAGTAGGTGGCCGGCTAGTTTGTGCTTTGATGCCCCCTCGAGGGCTGATGGAGTATGCCAGACAGCAGTGGTTCTGACACAAGGCACAACGACATGTTACGTCACAAAAATCGCATACGGCGGCGTCGAGGTCGAGGGTTTGCGTCACCAGCAGCGCTGTACGTGGTAGGATGAGACATCTTTCGAAAGCGGCAGACTGGATTCTCTCACGAGAGCAAATTACCACGCCAGGCGTGACATAACCATGGATTCTGGACGCAACACAAACAAAATGGGGGTGTCGCCGAGTACCTATGTAGAAAACCCCCTCGGAATCTTTGTGTGCACACCACACACACACATAGCACCCCCACAACCTAGCAGCCGGCTACACCGCGCCGCACCCCCATGCAACACCTGTTCCACCGTGGCATTTTGAGCAGCAACAACAAACCTGTTTCTGCAACAATCGCCGACGCCTCTACGCCGCCTGGTGCGTCTCCTACCTGGCGCGGCGATCGTGATGGCCTATGGGAGAGGTCGTGCGGACGCCGCCGCCCCCGCCCCCGCGGCGACGAGTGTCTCCCCGACTTCGCGAGCACGATGGAGATCGTCGGAACAAACAGCCAGGCCTGCGGACTCGCACGGCCTGAGCGCCAACCGACCCGACGGACATTCCGACCCACACGCCGCTTCATGCGAAAACTTCGGACCGTCGAGCTTCGCTGCGCACAACTCCAGGTTGTGCAAAGAACACGCCCAGAGACACCGCTAAGGGGGCGGCGATTGCTCAATTGGGGCATATATAAAAGTGCCTTGCCCGAGCATTCGCCGCCCTAAACACGGTGCCTCTCGCATGATCCTCACAGATCCTGGAGTTGTGAACCGCGAAGCTCGACGCCGCCATGAAGCGGCGTATTTCGGGATCGCCTCCGGGTTGGCACTCGGGGCTTGCACGTCCGCAGGCCTGGCTGTTGCCGAAGAGCTCCACCGTGTTCGGTGAAGTCGGGGGGCTAATCGTCGCCTCAGGGGTGGCGGCGTCCGCATCATTTCTTCCCAGACCATCACGATCGCAGCGCCAGGTAGAAGACGCACCAGGCGGCGTAGACGCGTTCGTACTGTTGTTTGCAGAGCAGGATGGCGTTTTGCTCAAGGTGCCCCATGGTCAAACATGTAGTGTTGTTGATTGTGTGCGGTATGGCGTAGCAATAGGGTGTAGGCCATCGGTAACAGAGCCCTTTGTTTGACTTTATTGCAGGTTAACCCGATGCGTTGTTTCCTTAAAGTTTCGATTTGAAAAGTTTCCCACAGGAGTGGTATCTGATTGACAATGCTAATACAGAGCGCTTCAGTGTGTAGATGCCCCGGGCTAAAATGTTAAAAAGATTACAAGAAAGTTAAGGGAAGAGCGCGTCTCCCACCGACTGAAACAAGAAACGCCTCCATGTCTTTAGAATAACGACACGGGTGTGCGGCACAAGAGGGGGGGGGGGGGGGGGGGGGGGG